TTTATGTCAGAAATCCATTCGAGTGGGATTCTTATTAATTTATTAACTTTCTGTAATTTTTGGATGTTGCTCGAAACATGACACGAATCCTGGCCTTCCGCATGGTCGGAAGCTATGTTAACCACTTCACTTTTGCGTCGACCGCGTAAATAGAAAAAAGAAAATTATAAGTCACTAGGAGGATTTTCATGCACAGAAACGGAACCGTAAATTATGTCACTGTTCTTATTACTCACTTGCTTAGGTAACCATTAGAACCCGTTGTTGACTTTCGGCCATCCGAAAAAGCTCTCGCCAAGCACTTATATATTCCGCGTACCTTCTCCATTTCGTTATAACACGATTGGATAGGTTATCCTGCAGGTACTCTTTCCATCGAAGTTGTGGCCGTCCGCTTCATAGCTCTCTACCGACCTACGCTTCGAAGCCGTTCGTCACTAGAGCTTTTTCATCCATACCTAAAAAATGTCCGAGCCAGCGCAGTTACTTTATAGTGAAGTGCTCTCAATACGAGTGAGACAGAAGATTATGGGAAGTATTTTTCCTCCGAACATTCCAATCACGGCTGTGTCCGTCTGTGACATTGCCTATGCTTCAGCGGCCATTAAGAGCACGACCAAAATGAGCGACTTGTTAAGTGTTAGTTTATTTGGTTATGGGAGAGCTCTACGGCGCACTTTCTTATTGATTCCATAGCAACACTTATTGGTAAATTGGATTCTTAGTATATTCTCCAGGCTGATATAATTTAAGGTATTTACCACGCTACCGCAATTCCTTCACAACTTCCAGCGACAACATGGGACCCCAGTAGCCGCGGATTCCTGTTAAAAGGCAGCATGTATTTCGCCTCAACCTGATTTACCGCAGGATCTATCACTGCCGATTCTTTTTCAATTACAAAAATTCAAATTTAACATCCCGCTTGTAATACCCAACACATTTGTTGAAAATAGAGACATTATTTTGTACTTCTACCATCCGCAGTATTCCTTCCATCCCAAAGTTAAACGAAAGAGGAACAAATCTCATCTTGGTAGTTTGTTGGTCCGGTCTAGAACTTTGAGTCATTTCTGCCACGTAAGACCTCACATTCCTAAAGCTCCCAAAATTTCCGTCTGAAAACTCGCCACTTTCCTCCGAACGGAAGTCCAGTCCACTTGAAGCATTCCTTCGGCGATTGACCAATGATCGATTTTGGTTATGTATTCGTTCAGTACACCAACGCAATAAAAGTAAAGAAGGAAAGAAAGAGTTAAAGAGTTTTTTCTAAGTGTAAAGCCCAACGCTTTTTCTTGTACTTAACAATTTTCTTTTGATATTCCGAATGTGATTTGGATAGTAAATACAAAAGTCCTAAATTGAATAGAATTAGGAGCGATTTTATAAAAAAAAAATCACTAAGCAAAACTGAATTTTCAAAGAGCAAAATTAAAAGAACTAGGACACCTATATTGCGGTAATTAAACTATTACCACTCAAAGGCTAATTTTGTTAAGGAAATAAAAATAAAAAAAATGTGATCTTTTGCTTAAGAACTGCTTGCCGTTCAGAGGTGGCTTAGAATAAACTGTAGGTTCCGCCGGAAATCGTTATAGAGGTTACAGAGCACCAATTATATTGTATATTGGTCAAGTGGCAGGTCACCCATAATTTTTGAAGTAGATGATATTTAAAAAAAAATAATTGAGTACACAAAGAAGCATCTAGTAGCCACATGAGTTAAAGAGAAGAAAAATCATGGACCGAATTTCCATCTGCGAATCAGCAGCGAATAATGACTGGTGATGAATAGTGGATCACTTACAGGGACGTCAAACGAAAACGATCGTGCTCGAAGTGCAGATTGAGCCGGCACAAACAGTCTCGAAGCCAGAATTGACGGCTCAAGCGATTCTTGTGCGTTTTGATATAGCAAAGACAAAACTTTCGCTAGATTTGATTTCCAGCGGCTACCGGCTGCTCGCAGGCAGGTGGGTGGATTTTCAGTGAAACTGAAAGCTCTTTTGGGCCTGGCATTTTTCAACCCTACTGTTATTTGATCTTTTTTGACAAATCAATTTCCTTTTTTTCTGCCATTGTTATAATTTAAAGTACGTTTAACATACATACATACCTTATTGCAATAACATTAGCAATTTTAATTTTTTTTATCTCCTCTTTTTATGGAAAAAAGGACCGTTTGGTGCTTTTACAGTCCTACCGTCTGTCTCTGAATGCTATAAAATAGTACCTTTTTTAAGATGTATATACTAATAAGTTTCCAAAAATAAACATCTTTTTCTACTTCTTTTCTCCTTTTTTCGTTCTCCACCCATCCTCAGCAGCCATCGACGCTTAGCTGCCCAATTTTAATCGTTTTCGGTTCGCAAATCAAGAGGAAAATGTGCTTTTCATTGTTGCGTCGAACGCTCCGTGTCAATAGTAAATAAATTTTTCTGTTCAATGACAAATAATCAAATAGCATCAATGCCATAAAACCATCGAAGGCACACAAAGAAACAAATGCACGCACGATGATTGAATAAAAACCCATCAACACCTTCAACGGCCATTCACTTCGCTAACGTCCCGTCGATGGCTGCACACTTTCACACACAAATTGGATTAAATTCCTTTACGGTTTCGCAATTCCAAATCGGTTTCAATTGCAAAGCAGGCAAGTATGCTGTGACTGAATTTCAAGTGGCCACGTGACTTACTATGGGCTGGGCGCGACTGTAGGCAGATTTGCTGTTGGTGTAGAATTTGCTCACATACATATACATTTCTTAAGTTTAATAAAAGTTTGCATATTTATATGATAATAAATTGTGATTACTCAGAAAATCGACAAATAATCCGCTTTTATGCTCGGGAGTTTATTACAAATCGGATTAGAGATTTTCACAACCCACAATTTAATATCACCAGATAATATACTATATTATCACCACCCCCACCTTCTTCTCGACAACCTTCTTAACCATATTTTATAGAAGAGTGAAACTAGGCTATTTGTTCTCCACCCAATATTTCTAAGGAGTTGAAGATTTTCCTCATTTTCCATCGGGCGGTACTGCATAGAACACTTTCAAGGCTAGAGTGTTCCTATCTATTCTGTAAACAAGAACTACTGCCTCTTGCTTCGCTGCACTGTGTCAATGTCGCTAAATACCTTGTACAGCTCCTCGTTCCATCGCCTACGATATTCGCAGAGGACCGTAAATCTTTTGCAAAACTTTAATCTCGGAAACACCCAATGCCCGCTCGTGAATTGTCAATATTATCCACACAGTGCAATATAGCAGGACGCGAATGATGTCTATTTTGTAGAATTTGGTTTTGGTTAGTCGAAAAAAGTTTACTTTGCACTCAGTCAAAAATAGAACCTGTTATCAAGAGTTATTCTGCGCGTTGGATTGCAAGGCCGACTTCAAAGTTATAACTGCCAACGGTGATATGGGCACCGAAACACGAAGACATTGACTGCTTGTTTGATGGCAGGAGATATTTCCTGTTCACTACTAGATCTGGTTAAGGCCAATGATGTGAATATCATCGGCGTACGCCATCAGCTGTACGCTCTTGTAGAACATTTTACCTTCTCTATTCAATAATGCAACTCGTAATATTTTCTCCAGCATTAGGTAGAAAAAGTCACACGTTGGAGAGTCAACCTATCTCAAACCTCGTTTTATACCGCGCGAGTCGAAAAGAATAAGCACTCTCTTCATATACTCAGTATGCTCTGAATAACGATAACCAGCTTAACTTTTTGCTTTCTATATGAGTTTGCTCCAGTCTTGAAACCTTTTGTAAATCGCCACACTTTTTCATAAAATATACGCAAATTATCGTTCCTCAAGCTCTTCGGTTTCGGCCTTTTTCTTTTACTTCTCCTTAAAAGTTTCGGTAAACACGTATATTGCACTCCGCGCGTCTTAAGGTTTCAAGATTGCCAGCTGGTTTTCTCTCTGTAGGAAGTTTAAAATGGTGTTCCACATTTCGCTTATATGCTGATGCTAGCAATACTATCAGCAAGCAGAAGCATAAGTCGGAAGTAGTTGGTCATCTCTAACGTTTGTGGCTTTCCGACATCGAACCTTCCTTGTGATTAATGACAGACGTTCTTTGCTTCACAGAAGCGAGTGCGTGTCTTCGCTACGACAAGATGATGATATGAGTCGATGTTAAGTGCGTGGAACGTTCTCATACCCATCTAAGCCACTGGAGGCATTTCTTCCGTCTATTACAACATGATCGATTTGGTTGCGCTATTCTCAAACCGGCTATACAACCGCAGTGATTTTCTTCTTCATTTCCGCAGGGATGTTAATTGGCTACCTAGAGGATACTTGGTCTAAGAACGGAAGTCATGTGCTGTTTTGTGAAATAATAGTGTCTGGCCTCTCCCAGAGGAAAAGCTTTCAACACTTATGTAGGCTTCTACTTTGCTTTACAGAGAATTCTTATTATAATGCCAGGAATTTCGAGCATGAAGTGTCATGTCCTCGTTATGGACTTAAGCACTTGGTGTGGGCCATAGAATCCCTATTTTCGCAAATTAAACGAAGCTTAGCTTAGCTTAGACACAATAACGGAAACCTAAGGACTTCTTTATATGCATAGAAGTAGAAATAGCAGAAGCACGAGGAGACCAAAGTTTGAATGAATTGATGATGTGAACCAGGTTTTTGAAGCGCTAGATCCATGATGTTGACAAACTCAAGCATGAAACATAAATAATTGGGGAATTACATTATAGCAAGCCAAGGACCGCACCGGTTTGTGGAGCTGATGATGTGTGACTTTTTTACTTGAAGAGTTCCAAAAGTCCTCCATATTATGCATGATCTTACTTACCGCGGTGAAGGTAGTACTGGGCTCGAAATTCAACGTCGACCATTAGGTTCTCCTTCGAAGTAAGGTGTAAAAAGCGTATACCACTGATATATTAAATTTATATTAAAGTAAAAATTGTTATAGAAAATAATATTCATTTTCAAAAATTCGGTTTTCATAAACTTATGTTAAAATGTCAGTTACTTATACGCACAAAGCCAGCATTCCCAGTGAAAGAGGCATAACAAATGCGTGTACAAGATGCTTTCTTTCCTTCAACCCAAATGCTCCGTAGAGTGCGTGTACTGCACCGATGAGGGCAAAGTATGTGAGCCTAAGTGTGGCTGTTGCAGGTGGTATTGGCCTAGAGATATCGGATATGAGCTAGCATGTGCCTGATATGTGGCATAGGTGTGAGGGCGACGTGTCACCTTGTGTACGATGGTCTTGACGATGGGCACTTTAACGGGATAAGGATAGTAGACAGGTTTGGCCACCTGTTTTTCCACCATATACGGAACGCGACGTTCAACAACGAATGGCACAGGACGTTCCACGGGAAACGGTTTCACCTTCTCAATCGGTATGCGCACCTCTTGCACTTTCGGCACGGCAATAGTCCTCGAAACGGGCACACGTATAGCATAAGGACGTGGTACGGCTGTGATAATGGGTTGTGGTATGCGGATGGGTACGCTCTGATTGTAAGGCACATGAATGCGTTCGTAATCGACGGCTGCAATATGCTTGGTCACCTCAACGTGACGGGCCAGTGGTATACCGGCGAGCGCCGCAGAGCTGGCGGGTGTGTGACGTACCGAGGTGGTGATGGGTGGTAATGTATGTGCGCCGTTATGCAGTTGGTACGACTTGACTGTCGGTTGGCTGAGAGTTTGAATGAAATTCTGCTGCACGTCACGATGGCTGATGTTGCCGTCATCGTGCTTCTCTTCATCGCCGCTGTTACCATTTCTGCCACTCTGCTGTTGTCTACCATTGCTGTCGTCGATATTGTTATGCGTGTCATCAATTTCGTTTACGCTGTCATCGATGAGATGTGACACATGCGGCGAAGGATATACCCGGACATAGGAGTATTGTGTTGGTGCGTTTGCGTCGTCGGCAAAAATTTCGCTGATGCTTCTTTTGTAACCACCCGAGCGAGAACCAGGACTACTAGGGCTACTGGAGCTGATGGTGTCACCAGCGTTGTCACTGTCAAGTGTGTGGAAATTTCGCATTGTTGGTAGCAAACTGTATCTGGTGCGCGCTGCATCGCTGCTGCCAATCACCTGCAACGACGTGGCGTCACGCTTCTGTTGTCGCCGGCGGCGGGTAGATAGCGCGTCCTGGTAATTTGGTCGTGTCGCCTTCGAAAGCGTTTTCACTTGTCGTGTTTGTGGACGTGGCCAGCGCTGAGGCAGCGAATAATGCAAAAATTCTGGCAGCTTGCGGAAGTGATGTGGCAGCAATAGTTGTTGTTTGTGTTTTTGTTGGAGCAATTGGTATTGCTGTTGCGAGTTCCGTTGCTGGTGTTGTTGTTGTTGTTGTTGCTGTCTGGAATTCTGTTGTAGCTCTTGTAAATTCTGTTGTTGTAAATTCAATTGTTGTTGGAAATGTTTTTGTTGTAAACGCAATTGCGGTTGTAAATTATCTTGTTGGTGTACATTCAATTGTTGTTGTAAATCGTGGTGTTGTTGCTGTAAATTTTGTTGTTGTTGAAAAATGTTTTGCAACTGCGTACTACGTTGTTGTTGTTGTAGTTTCTGTACATTTTGGTCTTGTTGTTGTTGTTGATGTTGCTGTTGTTGTTGTTGATGTTGTTCTTTTTGCATGTGCGGTTGTTTGACGTAGTAACGCAATTTCTGTCTGTCATTTGCATAATTTTCGATATTCACGCCTTTATTAAATTGCTGCAACATCGCCGCGTTGTTGTCATCATCACCAACGCCGTCGCCACCATTCAATAATGTCATTGGCCGTAGCTGCGGCTGCTCGGCATGTCCATGTGGCATACTGGCCTTCTGCTGCACTGCCTTTCGCTGTTCCACCTCCAACGCCTGTCCCTCGGACTGTGCCTGCTCCTCCGCCTGTGCCGACTCTGTTGCTTGATTATGGTAATTGGAAAATTGTTCAATCTGGTAAGTGGGCATAAAATAATTTTCGTAGTTCGGCAAATGATTTTCATAATATGACGCGCCAGCACCACCGCCCTGATTGGCAGTGGCAACACCAATTGGCGCTTTACCATAACGCGCGTCCTCTCCGTCGTTGCCTATATGCGCTGAAAACCCGGCATATTCACCCATATCGTACTTATACACACCGTCTACGTCCGCCACTGTGCTCAAGCTTTTACCGCGCCCCTCACTTGCCGCATTACCACCACTCTCGCCAGTGTCGGCACTCTCGTAATTATCTTCTTTGAATTCATAATCAATTTTGCCCGAAGGCGTTGCATATGCAAAACTTCCACCAAAACTATTGCCGTCAGCGTCCACGTTCGCTGAAAATTCTGCGCCCACACGCACACTGCCCAATGCCGTCACCGTCGCCTCATCCGCATTCATGCTATCAACATAGTGTTGGCCTGCAGCCGTCATTGTTTTTGGCACAAATCCAGCTGCTGCTATTGCCGCCGATTCGTCTGGTAGAGCTTCTGGTGTACGGCCGCCGCCAGCGTGTGGCGTACGCCATTGCACCATTTGATCGCGCAAGTCCACGGATGTTGCATCAATTTTATCACTATTGACGTCGCTGTTTTCAAAATAATTACGATATATCGGCATGGCAGCCGAATTGACCGAAGGGACTGATGCGCCAACTTCGCGATAGCGCGGTAATTGTTGTGCGTAATCTTTTGTTGATGCCTTTGTGGTTGTGCTCGCCAAGGGCAATACGGCTGCAGCGGTTAGAGCCGCTGTCATTGCTGCCGCCGCCTGCTCATAATTTCTAGTATTCCGATAATTAGTCGCGGCAATAGCGTCTGTGGCGGCGGTTACAGGTGCAGCAGTTATGGCTGCCGCATTGCGTGCAGAGAGTAGTGATATTAGTGTGTTGCAAATTAAGATTAAGAGCCACCTGTGACTCTCGGCATTGCGCAAATTTCGAAGTACAGCCATTGTTAATATTTTGTAGAAATATTTTATCAATAAAAATCCTTTCAGGCGGTTATCTCAGCAATGTAGCAGGATGTTGTCGTTGGTTGGCTAGCCGAACGCCCGTTTATTGTGTTGGCGTCTACGAACTTTGAATTGAAAATGGCCAAGCGCAATTGGGATAGCCCTTTATATGTGTTTCCAATCCGACTCTTCAAGAGCACTGTAAGTGAATCTTATGGCAATATGAGCATATGAATTCAATCTCTTTGTAATACTTTCTTTTTTCTGTACTTACAATCACGCATTTTTTTACTCATGTTTCAAACATTTTCTTCTGCGGTTTCTGCGTTTGCTATTCGCCGCGCGAGTGTTGCAATTCAATACCGGATGACCGCTGCACACACACTGGGCACACTGATGTCTCAACTTGGGTCGTGTTGATTGCATAAGGTGGCCAAAAACAGCAGTGGTAGGTAGGATTGCTGCCCGCGTCAATTTGAAGCTTTGTCATCGAATTTGTGAGAGAACTAGGCACTCACAGAGAAGATGGAAAACTGTTTCCTTATTCCTTCCAAATGAGCAGCTACGTTAACGACCAGCGATATAAATATATATTTTTGGAAAATCACAGAAGGTGTAGCCCAGTGGTCTGTATTGGGTCCTGTCATATGGAACGTTATGTCAAATGATAGTTGGTGATTGCATTATTGAGTCAAAGCCACAGCACCCCTGCATTAGCTCGACTAATGGCAAACGTTAGCGGACCAGGCCAATAAAGCAGACAGTTTCCCGCGGGTGTAGTGGTGCACAGCTTTGGATGCAGAATCCCTATACCGTGGCGTTACGTCCACCTACCGCCAGTGCGCTCTCCGCGTCTGTGTTGCGGAAAGCAGTATCAAAAGAGGCAGCGTTAGTTATTGCTGGTATAATCTTAACAACGCTGCTATGAAACAAATACTAGTGGTCGAGAATTTATTGAATAGAACACGCTATTCGGCTGAACGAGTCTGTAGGCAACGAGCAGCTGAGGCGAAGATGCGATAGCCCCGTGCCATCGATGGACACTTATGTTGATCAGGTAACTTACATACTGGGTAAGTAGTGACGAGTAGCAAAACCAAGATGGTTGCAAATGATGACGGCAGACGATATCGACTCAGACTATTGAGCTTTTAGCTGCAACGGCGTTCTAATGAAATACTGAAAGGTAGTATCAGAGGTTACCGTACGAGCGACGGTGGATTTAGTGGGTTAAAGTCTCACACTAACGAGGCCAAGGCGTACGATGCTTTTTCCTCCTATATCATTCATTCATTCATTTCATGTCAGAAATATACTCGGAAGACCTGACTATTTGCCGTCAGTGTAGAGGGGTAACCGCAATTAAAATAATGAATTTCTTGTTCTTCCAAATGTTAGTATATAATGCTAAATCCTCGGCTATTCCGACCGCCTTTTGTCCTATAATAATTGAAGTCAAATCTGCCTCGTAAGCAAGCAGTTTTAGATATAGACTCATGGCCGTGAGAATATTGCCAGGAGTTTGCCGAATCGGGACTTGCTCCCGATGAATCTGAAATGTAGTTAATACTGCGTAGTTAGCCGAACGAGACAACAAAGCAAAGGATTCATTAATCAAATCTAATAAAATAATATATGAACTTAACGAAACAATAACGGGTCACCTTCGGAGAGCTTGCGCCAAAAGTGTATCTCCTTCTATAACAGTCGTTGCCGTAGCCTTGAACTAGAAGGAGTTAGTAAGTACACAACTCTCTCACAATTTCGATACAGATATCCATCAGATTCTAAACTTTAACAAACTGTCCACGAAAATCATTTCGAATAGTACAGGTAAGGTAATTTCATTGAACTTGAACGATACCATTTTAATATTAAGCTCTTACGATAGTGACGCGTCGAGCGCTAAGTCAGGCTTAAAGCTCTTCCCTCAACAAGTAGATCATTCAACAAACTTCTCAGAGCTTCGTTAGTATTTTCACAAATATTTATGGTCAATAGATTCTTTGATTGTTTTTTTAATTTCTAAAATGCATTCAATTAGCTAATTGGATGCCTGTGTGAAGAGCGCTTGACACACAAACTTAAAATAGAACAAAAAGGCCCACCTACTAAGTAGAACTTGTTGAGCTTAAGAATTCTAAGATCTCTACCCTTCTAATGAGAATAATATTATATAATCAGCTTCATTTTCATTTGATATAATTTCCCAAAAAAACACCCTTGGTAAGCAATTTTAACTAACAACAGCCTCAGTGAAGCGTTGCAAGTAGCAAGTTGCATTGTGAGTTCTGCGCGACAAAGCAATGGCAATGACATTCGAACACATTCGCCACATATGTACATATGTACACATTCATCGACATTCATCTTGGAGCGCGCATTAAACTAACGCATTCATTCGCTCGCCCGCCCGCCATTCCCGCGCTGCAAATTTGCTGCATATTGATTTCAATGAACAATGTGTGCCGACGCCGACATTGAGCCCCAACCGATTGTATTGCATTGAAAGTGAATGGGAACAGTACACCAATTTACACGCGAGCACACACACGCTACATGCAATGTGCAACATATTGTGCACACATGTGCAACATGCGGTATTTTAGAGCTTGCACGCGCTTCGCTGGCGGCTAGAATTTCACTTGGTTTGCTTTTTGTCTCATTTCGCTTTGTTTATGCTTATTTATTCGCTAGTAGATTTTGTGGCAGCAACCTTGCCACTGAACTGCCGCAAAGTGGTGCACATACATACTATACATATGCTCAGCGGCGGAGACGCTTTCTGTTTACCATATACCCAATGTGCGGCCGTCAAACTTTACGCCATCAATTTATACGCGGTTTTCGTGCATATACATACGAGTACATCTGTGTATATGGTAGGTGATGTGAGTGCACTGCTTTTGTAAAATGGAACCAATTTCCGGCTTTCCAGTTCGCTGCAAACGTGAAACTGAAATTATTTACCAAACTATTGTGGGTTTAATTTCGAGTGGGGTTTAAGAGAAGTAGAGATTATAAAGTGTCATTTCCCAGTTAATATAGAATTATATGTATATACTCGTGTATAGTTAGATCACGAAATATCTCCTGTCGTCAAACAAACTGTCGGCGTACTTTCGCCTTGCATCACTCTGGCCAATAGGTGCTATTATGGACTGAGTAGGCAATTGAAAAGTAAAGTCCTCTCTTGACGAATCAAAAGCAAACTCTGCAAGTCACTTATCATTCCCGTCCTAACTTATGGTACAGTAGCATGAACGATGTCAACATCCGATGAGTCGACCCTGAAAGTTTAAGAGAGAACAGTTTTGCACATTGTCTACGGTGATTACCACAGACGATGAGGAATGAGGGGCTGTACGAGTTATACGATGGCATTGATATGGTTCAGTGAAAAGACAGCTGCAACGCTCGCTTGGTTTGAATGAATGAAAGCGGTGCTACTTTGAAAGAAAGTGATGCAATACCCGCCGGTGGAAGCAAAGAAATAGAAAGACCTCCACTCGGTTGGTTACGTCTACTTACCGTCGGTGGGCTCTCCGCGTCTGTGCTGC